GACATTTAAAATGGGATTGGCAAATACCAACTATAAACAGCTTCACAACTTTCACTTTGCAGTGAAACAGCTGATCCCATAACAGAACAAAAAATCACCTTTGCCATAAAGGGACTTGATCTTAGTTGTCTCAGCCTACAGCTCTTCCAGAAAAAGAATGTCAGTTCCAGGCTTAATTATAATCACCATTAGCTGCTACCTACCATTTAATTGGTTGGTAATAAAAGCAAGTATCTTTCTTATCAAAGCAATCAGCAGTGTCACTCCTTTGCATTCCCCCCATTAGCTGCAAATGTTATGTGGCAGAGCAGGGATAGAACCAATAATAGTTCAATTTGGGGAAAACAAAAAAACAACCCCAAAAGTTAAAAATAAAAAAATTTAGAGAAGCAACTCAAACAGTCAGCTACCAAAGGAGACAGAAACTAAATTCTTCATTGTCAAGTGCCAATTCAAAGTGAAAACAGATTGAACCAAAACTGTCCAAAAATGCTTTCCCATTTTGTAATGCTCACACCCCTAACGCCAGACAGAGCCCAGCTGTTTCTGCCACTGACTTCAAACAATAGCTGGGCTGTTTAAAAGTTTAAAAGCTGTTTAAAACAGGGAATGATGTTTGCCTGAAGACATACTTTATTAATGCAAATTGCTTTCAAATGCACATCCAGTTTCTTAAGCAAAACAAACCCAAGATTTCAAACGGAGTGGAAGTTACTGCTGGAGCCATACCCAACCTGTCAGCCACAATTCAGTCACCCATTAGGAGTCAGCTTGATTTCTGCAAAAGGGGCCTCCAAGGTTTGTATCAAAGGAAAATGTTTTTCATTTCACTCTTCCTGCTTTAGAAAGGCCTTGAGATTTCAGAGTCTGTGTCTTCTTTTTGGACCTTCCAATTAGCACCAGCTTGCTCGTCCAGGATGCTGCACTCCACTCGTGCCCATGGCTGTTAGTCATGCTGCCACAGTGCCTTCCTATCAGCTTAAGCACTGACCTTTAAGAAGTTATAAATGTTATTTCAGCTTTAATATTCTGATTTTAATGTCTCTGGAAGTGATTAACAGCACTAGCTTTATGTCTTCAGGTCCTTGCCTATTTGCTCACCACCTTCTGCTAATGTAACTTAATCAGCACATGCTGCAGCTCCCCAGGTTTCTATTTCTGGTTCAGTGAGATTGAAGTAGTAATGAGCAGAGCACACTGTGGGTTTCATTGCTCCTGAAAGCAAGAGGATTAAATCAGAGATTCATTTTGTTCTGTGTGTCATCTTTCTCATCTGTACAATGGAGACAACACAGCTATGGCTGAGAGACAGAGAGGCTTCCTCACAACAACAATTAAACTCCCATCTGTTAATTTTTTTGTCAGTTATCTTTGCAGTATAGTTGTGAGATTGTTAAATAAACCAAATTCATGTAACTCACAAAAAAGTACTCATGGCAGGGATCTCCAGGAATGTGCCGACAGACAGCAGACAAGTTTCCCTGATCCAGACTCAGCAGTCAGCAAAAAGATTTGAAAGACAGGAAAGAGACTAGTTTGGATACAAAGGAGAGGATGGCAGGAACATTACGATGACAATTCAAGAAAATTTCTTGGAACAGTTACAAAAATGGAAATCAGCTGGAAATCCATCATTTCCTTGTATAGTGTACAAGAATAATGCTTAGACAGTGAGTAAAGACCATCTCATGGTAAAATGTCACATTACAGCATGAGAAGTCCCAGTCTTTGTGGTGATGCTGACTGTGCACCATTCCCACATTGTTGTGTCAACACTTACCTTGAAGAATGTTTGAAAAAAATCTACTGGATTTGACAAGTTCCTCCTTTATCAAAGGGCCAGTTCACTCCTCATGGCCTGTGCCCACTTCACCTCACTTAAAAAGACTTTTTAAAATTCCCCTAACAAATGTGTTGCTTGTTAAAAGCCCTAACATCTCTTAAAGATTTCTTAGATAAGCTGCTTAAATTATCAACAAACATTAACTTTCTTGCTATGTTACAAAGATTTATCAGCAACAGAAAATATATTAACATGCCCTAGTGCAGGCTCCCTGCACCTGCCTTGCACTGGTGCCACTGCCCTGACCCTCCATGGAGCAGCTCAGGCAAAGGGAAACACAAACACAGAAAAGGCACGAGCAGGGCTGAAGAGCTGTCACAGTCCCTGAACAGCAGGGACCAGCTCAGCCTCCATCGGTCCCACCGGGAGGAAATTCCTGTTCCAGGCACAACAAGGCAGCCCCAGCCTTGCTCAGCAGAACACAAGGCAGCAGCACACTCCCATCCTCGCTCCTGGATGGGGTGACAACACTTGGTAGCGACATTAGGAATGTGCTAAAGGAAAGAAATGCTCCTTTTGTATCGCCTGGGCATGGCCAAAGCCATGGAGGGAAGGGCCGAGGGAAACTGAGGCAGCAATTCCAGCGCCCCGGAGCTGCCGCGGCCCCGTGCTGCCACCTGCAGGCAGCAACGGGAATGAGCACGGCCGGGAGGGACCGGTACCGGACCGGGAGTGACCATGGCCGGGAGTGACCAGTACCGGACCCGGGAATGAGCGCGGCCAGGAGTGACCGATCCCAGATCCAACACCGGGAGTGACCACGGCCAGGAATGACCAGTACTGGACCCGGGAGTGACCACGGATAAGAGTGACTGATACCGGACCCAGGAATGAGCACGGCCAGGAGTGACCGCTACCGGACCGGGAGTGACCACTGCCGGGAGTGACCATGGCCAGATCCAACACCGGGAATGGCCATGGCCAGGAATGACCAATACTGGATCCAACACCAGGAATGACCAATCCCAGACCCCCACCAGGAATGACCGTGGCCAGGAATGACCGATCCCAGACCCCATTGGGAATGAGCACAGCCAGGAATGACCGATCCCAGACCCAGGAGTGCCCACGGGCAGGAATGACCGATCCCAAACCAGCCCTGCCCCTGAACTCGGGCAGCAGCTCCTGCAAGGACACCAGAGCCAACTTCCAGTCTCGGCTCTGTCTTCTTTTGTCCAGGATCCTTTTGAGGTCAGTTCTCCCAAATTTCAGGACGCAGCTCATTCTAATTGACCCATCACTTCCACAAGGTCACATCACATTTTAGCATCATTGAAGCTACTCCTGTGTCAAGTCTGTTACATTACAGAGCAAAAATTCTAAAAGAATGTATCCAAAAGCCTGGTTTTACTCTTTCTCTGCATTTTATCTGCTGGGTCTGTGAAAACTGTATTTCCTCACACATTAACTATTTAAAGCACAGACAATTTCAGCTTGCAGAGGAAACTCAGAATGCAAGTTTCCTGTTCTTTCCCAAATAACTGAATTATCTCAGAACACTGTTACATAATGCTACAGAACACTCCAGTATTATCTGTTTCAGACATGAATAATTCCTCTCTATTTAACAACTCTTCCACAATTAGTAAATTAAAATATTTTAAATTTGGCATCTGTTCAGAATATGCATTACTTTAAAATATATTAATACATATCTATTGGTCCAAAATATGTGAGTAATGTAATGAAGTTAAATTATCTCTGTAAAATACAAATCAGAATAGGGATGCAAATATTTGCATTTGCATAGTTATGCAAACTCTTAATCATGAAGAACAATCACTGCTGTAGAAAAGCATAAGGCCACTAGGAATGGCTCCTGAGGAGGTCAAAGCATTCTTTCTTCATTTCCAAAATGACACATTCATAGCTTCTAACTACTGAAATAATAATTTGAAAGTTCACAGATAAAAATATCTTTTATTACTACATTCACATTCCACTCTATGTAGTCTGATTTTTAGATGTCAGCACAGAATGAGTCAGCTTTGTTATTAACAATTCAAATGAACAATATATATTCAGCAAATTGATCAAGGAATTTAAACAACTTCTAAAATTAATTTTAACCGAGCAATCTGCTGCTTAGAATTTATAACACAAATGGAAACAGCTCAACAAGAATAAAGTTAACAATATTATTTAAGCAATTATAATGAATAAAAGTATTCTTAAGTCCTGTCACTTGTAAGAACGAATGAACTTCCTGAAATTTTACCAGCATGAAAACAGACACAGAGCAATCAATATGAGACTTTATGAACACTGAAGTAACAGATCTGCAATGGAGGGACAGAATGAATTCAAGCCCTCTGACTTTTCAGGGTTTGCTCAAAACTGAAGGAGGTTTCTGTTATCACAGTGGTAATTCCTGTTCGTGTGTTTGACTGAGATGATTGATGAAGATCTTGGTAAGGCCTTTGATGTGGTCTCTATAAATGGGATTATTTATTTAAGGCTGCAATTATCTCCTGCTAATCCCAACATCCTCTCTTGTCTGCTCACTGAGCACAGAGACACTGGGGACACTGCATGGCCCAAAGCTCCTGGCACTGCTCTGGTCACAGAACAGCTGCTGAATTAAACAAGTTACCCTAGAACAGGCATGTACATGTCACCAAGAGCAGGATAAAGGTGCTATGTTAATAAACTAACTGGCAAAAACTTAAAGTTTCATTGTTTCATTTTTCGAAGTAAAAAAAGTTAAAAGTTGTAGTTGCTGTGAGCCTGCAGCTCACCTGGGATGCACAGCACAGGAATTCTGTCCCTGCCCACACCAGCAGAACCTGCAACCACAGCCTGCCCAACCTGCAAACCCAAACCACTTCAAACTGGTCAAATTCCACACCATAATGAAGTTAAACACAGATGTTAATCTTGAAGTTGGCATCCCAATTAAATTCAGTTGTTACATGACTTAATATTATTAATATTTGTTAGTTATGCTGGCACTTACTTATAATGAAATGTAACAGAAGAATAGCAGCATTAAAGATGAATATTTAAAAAGTATTTAAGATTTCATGAGGCTTCCAAGTATTAATTATAAATGACAAAAAACCCAGGGTGAACAGAGCATAAATGGCAATTTTGATCATTGTAGTGAATCAGAAAAATTAATAGTACTTACTGTAATGACTTTAGTAATCATTAAGAGTTAAACCCAGTAGTTCTTATAACCTAAGGAAAGTTAGAGAATTGTATTTGACAGTTAAATTATTTTCTGATTTTTAAGTGTACTATAAACATGAACTTTCCTAAGTAACACAGTTGTGCTTTATTGAAGATCTAATTAATTGGGTGTGGTGTGGATCTGGTGCTAAATGCAGGATCACAAACTTACATAGGAACACTTGCAAGGCTGGTTAAAGAAAACAGATCCCACCTGCATCCAAAAAAGAATCAGCTTAAGGTCACAAAGGTTTCACATTCCCAGAATGTGGATTCTTCCACACTTCTCTGCCACCCTGCTCCTGCTTCATTTTTGCCATGCAGTTCTGTTTCCCCAGCTAAGTGAGCTGAGAAAAACTCAGACAAAAGATTAGTTTCTAATTACCAGCAGTATGAGGCATAAAAAATGGTGCTTTTCCACTAAATTGTGTCACGCATTCTATTGCATCATGAATTCGATTAGAAACTAAAGTGTTTGCAGAAAGGAGATTTAGTAAATGTACCTTGTACTAAAAAATCATTGCCTTTCATGTGCTTACCTCAGCAAAGTATAAGCACTGAAATTCAGGCAGCTCTCAGTGATACTGAGGGATAAACTTGCCTCAGATCAGTCTGCAATTCTGTGAGTAAAGCTGGCAAAAAACCAATGAAAGGGGAAACAACCAATCTATTCTTTAATAAATAACTCTGAAATTAGCTGATTTTTGCCATTCTGTTATTACCTGTATGTAATAAACCAGGTGAAAGTTGCCTCTAATTTTCATAATTTGCAATGGTATTTAGGTCACACAGTAGAAACTGCAGCCAGAAGGAACATGAGCACATGAGAAGGGCTTCAACAGCTTCCAACCAGCATCTTTTCCACCTTTCTCACTGGAGGTAGTGCCACACTTTGAGTTACAAGTACTGAGAACAAGGAAGACCAGTCTGTTTGTGCATTGTTTGTCCATCATGCTGAGGATCCATTTACTGAGCTGCTTCTGCTCTGTGTTCCCTTGGAGTTGCTGTTTCTGTCCCATCTGAAACAGGAACAATCTCACTGGCACAATGTTCATTTTTCACAGTAGAATCATCTGGGAATAATTTCAGGGCAACTTTGAAAAAAAAAATTAAATATTGGGATGATTAATCAGAAAGACAAGTAAATATTTCAATAAATTTAACAAGTATGCAATTTAATTTAGTGGAGAAAATGCTGCCAATATGTAACTAAAGCACATCTTTTATCTTGCACTTTACTTGGGGAATGAATTTATCTTCTGTTGAATATTACATTACAAGCCATGTTACTGAGTTTGGTATTCTCATCAGAGGAAAACTAAGCATTTTTTAACTGGAAATTTAATTATCATAGGCGTGCTTTTTCTTTTTTAAGTATTAGCAACAGCAAATCACTGACAGCCCCAGTCTCACAAGTCATCATCTGCAAAGCCACACTGAGGAAACCACAGGCCCCTTCAAGTTGTGCAAGTGGACAGTGATATATTTAAATACTTGTAAATGTCGGTTTTGGGGAAAAACCTTCTGAAACAGCACAGAAATTTCTAGGTTTTGTGTGAGTCAATTAATGAACTGAATATTTGCATGAACAACATCTGAAGACACATTATCACAGCCCTAGAAAATCAAGCTTTCAGATGAAGGTATTTACAAGATATCAAAAAGAAATTGTTTGCATGTAGGAAAACATTAATAAGCAGCAAAATCTAATTACTGCAAAAACATAAACACTGCAGCTGTAACACTTCTCTCTAACCATACCATTACAGCCTCACCAGTGAAAACAGAAGTGTCAATGCTAATGTAAACTCAGCTGCTGATATATATTCATTAGATTCAGAAAAGCTCCAACATTTTTTCTTCTTACCACGTCAGATTTTCTCTCAGTGCAGATACAATCTGATACAAAGGGTGAGGTTTAGGGACACCTAGGCCTAAGGTGCATCTCCATTCTTGTCTCTTGCTCCACAAAGATCATCTGAAAGCATTGCTAAAAAAGGGAGGTTAGGGGCAGGGATGGTACCTGTGCAGAGACCCCACTCACACAACAAGAGTTTCTGACACACAATAAAGCCTATTCTCAAGTATTCTTCCATTATTAGCTCCACTGTGAAACAGCAATTAAGCAGCAGGGAAGATTCAATGCCTTAGCCTTTTAGTCTTGATTCTAATTTACATGATTAAATCCTAACTTAGTCACTGATTACCTTCTGCCTTAGCACGCTTCGGGTTCTCATGGATTTTATTTTTGCCTTTCCTTCCTTTTCTGGGTGTAGCAGTTTTGCCCTCACCAATCCACGATTTTCAGCATGCTTACATATATTACTCTGTTAGCATAATGAAGAACAAATATATCAATCAAATCTTAATCTATGTAAGCAATTTAACAGACACAAAGCAAATATAGTTCTGACAGACAAATTCTGGAACGCTAAGTGGAAGACTGACTTAGTTAACAACTTCCATAAAACTCCTGAAGATTTTCCAGAATATATTAAAATTCTGCTTTAAAAGAACATTGCCATTTGGTGGGTATAAAATAAAATTTATCATTTTCTGCTTCCTGGAGAAGCAATAAAGTTTCACATGTAAAATCTGTATGTGGAAAAAGGGTCACATTTACTTTAAAGTGTGCACAGTTAAGCCAAAATGAGAATATGTTCTCATTGCATATGGTTTTGAAGTGAATAATAATTTCTTACTTTCCTTGCTGAATGGGTTCTAGCTATCCTAAAAGTACTCTTTAAAATAAATTTTTCAGTTCTGACTGAATTTAGTCAGAATTCAGTCACATTTCAGGCTCAAATGCTACATTTTCAGGTACTTCTGGAAACTTAAAATCATATATAGGTTTTTTTCATACTGGTCAGCTCTATTTTCACCAACACTTCTTCTGAAAAACCAGAGGGTCACAGTGCCACAGGCATCAAGCAAATCATAAAACAGAAAAAGCTAAATATTTGCTACTTTGCATTTTAAACAAATTAAAACATCAACCACAAGATGTCACCACATCTCCTTGCAGGAGAATTTTACCTGTAAACCTACAAATACATTTTACTCAAAATATTGTGATAATTGAAGTCAGCTATAAGACATTTGGTGAAATTTTGTGAAAATGAGAGATTTCACCTCTACTTAGCTCTATATTATGCTGTTAGTGTTTTCCTTTAGACTCACCCAAATCACTTTTTCAAGAAAGGAAAGCACTACAATGTGGACATTGGTGTTTTGGCCCATTTTCTCCATGTTTCTGTAACACATGGATTTTCATGGTGCCTCTCTGAGTGAATCTGGCCTGGCAAACATAACACTCATAGCATTTTTTATTAAAAAGAAATTAAAATAGGATATGCTTAGAAACTCTACTTATTTAATATAAATTCAAATTCCCACAGAATTCAACATCCATGTTCTAACAGCAACAGTCTCCAGATCAACCAAAAGTTAATATTAGTTGACAGTGCACAAAAGGCCAAACAAGTCTCCAGAAGTTTACATAACTGATTGCAACACAAAATCTTGGCTTTCTGAGTCCACAAGTCAAACTGTTGAAGCATAAAGCCTTTCATATAATTCTAAACTAGGAATAAGGAATTATTTTAAATTGTCATCTATTCTTCCTTGAATACTTCATGTACAAAAATGCAGAATTATCTTCAAATATGCAAGGAGAGAAAGTAAACAGCAGTAAAACATCATGGTAAGAGTGACACACCATCAGCCATTGATAATGGCGAGGAGGGAAATTCGGAAATTATTTTCTTGCCTTTCCTCCCCAAAAAGCTTCATCAGGTGTGAGTACCATTAAAAATTACATCAACACTGGCAACTGGCACAGCTTTGAACCAGCTCCAGACTGGTTCTGTGGAAAAGTCCCTGCCAGGAGTGGGTAACACTCTTGAACTCTTCCAGTTGGACTCTTGTGGTTGATTCTCATAAAAAAATAATTCACTTTAATTGCACCAAACTGTCTCAAGATATGAACCAATGCATGACAAGTGCAGATATTTGGAAAATTTGATTCAAACCACGCTGTCACACTCTGATTCAACCTAAAACATTAATCAGAGCACAAATTACATATCATAATTGAGCCAAGTTAAACCCTGAAGTACAGGATTGATACCCACTGCCCCTGAGATGACTTGCATGTTACAGAGCTATGACAAGAACACACTGCTTTCAATCTTAAAGCAATTTAATTCTTTGTTGACCAAATTGGTTGCTGGCAATCTGGGGTCACAACAATATGTTCTGAACAGAGAGTTAAAAATCTCTCATAGATACCTCTCCAAATAAAATCAACTAATTGAGAAATAAAAGAGACAACTTGACCCACAGAAAATGAAATATTTCATGAAATATTTCTCTAATATAAAAGAAGTTTAGGAGGAACAGCAAGACTAACTACTGGGATTCCAACTGCCAAATCCAGAACACTGAAAGAGAACATGTTTTTACTCCAAATGCCAAGTTTAAAAAGGGCTAATTGTGAGGCTGAAATAAAATTGCTCTGTGAATATTAAGGAGCTGAGGCCCTGGGCTTGATCCCTAGCCCAGAATCCCACCTGTGTGAGTTAACACGTGCCTCTCCAGTTTGCAGGCACCTTTGCTGGCATGGCTGCACAGGTGGCAGGGGAAGGGCCGCTCTTGTTGCAATCTTCGCTGCAGTGTTGTTCTCATCTCTCAGGGGCTCCTCTTGGGCTCTCAACCCACCCCTATTTATCTCAGTTACCTTCACGAGCTACAGCTGCTGCCCAACTAAGGACCCTGCAGCTGCAGCTCGTTTGGAGTAACTTGGAACCACACAGATCTTACAATACAACATATATTCAGGCCCCCACACGCTCTCCCGTGTGCGAGCGAATGCGGCGCCTCTTCTTGCTGGCCTCAGACAGAAAGGAGGGATTTCCTAAAGCAACATCTACATTAGAGATGCATTTAATTAAAATATAAGCTATTTTACATGCTGCACCTACTGCAATCTAAAACATTGTATTAAACCCAGAATTAGCACTCTCACATTTGTGTTTTTCCCTGCACAATCAGCCTGCTGTGGCTTTAGGACACTTCTGCACTCTTTCCCCATATTATCTTACTTTCCTATTTAGGGTCCACATTAGCAAAATGGGAAATTTTATAATAAAAACAAACAAAGATAAAATTTTAAAAAGAGGATACCTGCTACTGTCAGGCTCCTTGGATATAACAAACATGAAATTCTTTGAAAACACTCAGGAAAATAAATGAAAGACCAAACTCATTATCCAGAGTCTATTCACCTTCAAGTCCCTTGAAGCACTTTAGTTACAAAGTTTAATTCAATTCTACTTTTTTATGCTGTTTTTCTGATATGTTCTACATAAATATTGTAGGTATGTGATTAGGAGTTATCAACTGTTCAGTTCCTCCATTTACGAACACAATTAATGAATTCACTGCTAGATTTTTTCAAATCTACACTACTATTCACTTAAATAAAATTAAACATGACTGCCAACCTTTGATACACAAAAGTCAAATAATCTGCATGGCAGTGCTGGAGTGCTCTTTCAGCTTTCTTCATTCAGGTAAATCTTACAAGAATGTGAGTTCTGTAACAGCAATGAATGCTGAATAGCTCCTTACTGAAACAAGGGAAAGAATAGGGTAATTTAGTATCAGCTGTCAGGCTTTTTAAAGATGCAAGCTATCAAAAATCTAATTATTAAGATAAGGTGCATGGAATAAAGTTCAGGATTGCTTACAGTTGGACACAGCACAAATTCGGATATTGAACATCCACTAAACCTGACAGTGATTCAATCACAGGTGCATTTCTAAAAGCCTGTGCACCCAATTCAATTGCAATTTCCAAGTGCACTCTTAAGCAGACTCTAAGGTATTTTATTCTAGATGGAGAAAATTCTAGAACTGGAAAAAACCCATACATCATCAAATATATAAACAGAATACATGAACTTCCTTTTAGACATTAGCTAGTACTGTCCTACAGTACATGGAACGTAGTGGAAATGAGGACCCAAAATGCTTTTGTAGGACCAAAACCACACAAACACATTGTCTAGCACCAATTTTAGAATAAAAAAAGAGAAAAAGCTCTTATAATGCAAATAGCTAAAAAACCCCTAAATAATTGTAGGAGTATTATTTTGGAGCAACACATTTGCAAATACTAGCTGGACAAATAAGGCTTCCAGGAACTCAAGTTACTTGTTCCTTTTTTTTCAGGATGACGGGGATGAAAAGATGTGCACACAAATGAAATGTAATGCAATGTTATGAAATGTAATGTAATGAAATGAAATGTAATGAAATAAATGCATGGCACCACACAGCTGTAACCTTCAGCCACCTTGCAGTAACTCTGCAGCACCATTACAGATAAACACAATCCATCAGCGTGTCCAGGGCCATCAGCAGAGCCTGGACTTCTCATGGTTAAAAATCTGGGCAAAAATTGTATGTATATTAAAATTCTAGCACGTGAAAACCTTCACACCCTCCCAAAAGATTCAGTAAGGCTGTACTCACTTCCACACTGGAGTATTCACATATTGTGCACTTGAAAGGCTTCTCCAAATTGTGCTTGTACCTCCTGTGTCGTGCAAGTTCCCCTCGGGTCACAAAGGCTGTGTCACACTCACTGCATTTATGGGGTTTGTTCCCTGCAACAATGCATGTGAGACTTTTATTCAACACCACAGCAATTTGATTTGTCTGCCTTACATCAACATGCAAAATTTTTTAATAAAACCATATCTGATATTCTGATTTTTTACATACTATAAATCATAGAATGATTTGGATTGGAAGGCACCTTAAAGCTCATTTTGTTCTACGCTCTGCCATGGGCAGGGACACCTTCCACTGTCCCAAGTTGCTCCAAGCCCTGGTCAACCTGGCCTTGGGCACTTCCAGGGATGGGGCAGCCACAGCTTCTCCGGGCAGCCTGTGCCAGTGCCTCCCCACCTTCCCAGCAGAGAATTTCTTCCTTATATATGTACACAGTAAGTTTATTATAAATACAATTTATCACTTTGCTTCATATGTTTATATAGCTAAATGAAAACATCACAGAAAATTCTATTCTGCATGTAGGAATGAAACACAGCTGAAATCACTGTTCAGCTGACAAGAATTGTTAGAATGGCATTAACAAAATAAACAAATACACACACACAGAGTTCCTAACTACAGACCATGTCTTCTCAGTGCGGAACACCACAGAAAATCAGAGGAATTTCTGAGCATAAAATGATCACAGAACACAGCTCCAAGGCAGAGCCACTTGCCTGCTCATCAGTTTTGAAGGCAGTATGTAACACAGCATTTTCAGGCCCTGGGTACCTGTGTGTGTGTTACATGGCTGTGCAGCAGGGCTGCTGTACGGAAGCCTTGGGGCAGAGGTGACACGCGTGACGTTTCTCATCCGAATGGGTTTTCAGATGACGCCCAAGACTCCACAACTTCACTGAGGTGAACGTGCAGAAAAAACAGTTGAAACTTTTATTTTCTCCTGTTGGAACAAAGACACATTTACGCTGTACATGCCACAAAATAATGACTTTACTTTTTTAAAAAACGGTACTAATTTCTAAAGAGTCCCTCTAGTCTGGATAAAACTACTTCGAACTTCTACATCAAAGGATTCATTAAGTGATTTGCCCCCAAAATTGTGTTAATTGCTGGTGATACAGTTGAGAATCTAACCTAACTCCTACCCTTGCCCTCACCACCAAGACAGGATGAGATTTCCTCTCTAAGTACCATCTTTAAGACTTACAGCCTGTGCAACAAACTTCTTGATAACAACTGTGTAATTAGCACTAATTAAATTTATGCAAAGATTTGGAAATGGCAGGTTAAGCTATTCCCAGCTCTCTGGTGCTCCTGAATCTGTAAAGTGCATATAAAAAAATCATGATGTGAAAGCGTCTTTAAAATTACTGGTTGAATTTGAGTGGGAAAAGTCAGTTCTGTGGAGAAGTCATAGATTAAAGTTCGAGGCACAAGAGTAATGAATTTCTTTTGAGAGTAACAAGTTAAGATTAAATGTGCAACACTTTTAGTTATGAAGAAGATCTGAAACTGTGAAATGGCAAATACGTCATATTTGAAGAGTCTTTCCAGAACAGTTGTCTCAGCTCCCAAGTGTGCTCTCTGTAATGATTTTCATGCTGAGACCAAAATGCATTTCATACATTGCTTTATACCCCACAGAGATGTGCAGATAACACTTCACTTCAGTAAAAGCAAACAAAACCACTTTATTGTCATTTGTTCATTGTGGATTCATGCCCACACAAAGGAACATTGTTAGCTTTGTTAAAACTGCTCAAACGTGTTTCCTATAAAGGCTGTAACTGAACCAGGGGACATCAACAATTTGTACAGTTCCACAGAGAGCCCCAGCCAAGATACCTTAACTTCCAGATACAACACACACATTTACAGACTCAACATCATTGATGTCATCCAATTTTTACAGTACACACACAGTTTCTAGGGAAACAGATGCTTATCTGTTCTTTTCTGAGTCAGTCCCTAACTTCTGTAACATACTTTAAGGTTTCTAACATCTTAAATCAGCCATTTTCTATTACTCTTATTTAGGCTTTGCTGACAGGTATTGATTGATAAGTGCCCACCACCCTCTGCTGGCAATGTGGAACCACTCTAAGCTCAACCATAAACCCTCAAACAAGCACATTTTGAAGCTGAATGAGTGGATCAAGACACTAAATAAATTACTAGGTTTATTCAAAGACACTTATACAATATTAACTTTGAAATCTCCCTGGAGGTTTCAAACACCACACACTGTTCAAAAGACCATTAATTTCTAAATGCCATCCAAAATGTCTCTCCTGAACACAAGCAGATGACATCAGCCTGAACAAGAGCTTCAAGCACTTAGGGCTGAAGGTATTATTTCTTCTTCCAAATTTCCACAGAATTTTACTTAACCTAATCTAAACAATTACCACTGTGAATATTTAATGCAAAACTTCAACCTCAGTTCAAAATCTTACTTTACATGTCTTATTTAAAAATTAACTACAAAGATTATTAACTTTTTACCTTTTTCCTGTTGTGGAGCACCAGCCTCAAATTTTAGATTCGTGAGATTTCTTACAACTGTTTGTTCTGATGCAGTTGGATATTCCTGCTCTTTACTTTCATTGAAAGAGTCTGACAAATCATCACCCCCTTTGCAGCTCTGACTCTTTGTTTCCCCAACAGTGGAAAAAACTTCCTTTCCTTCCCCCTCTTCAGATGGTCTCAGTTGCTGGATGTTATTTTCAGATGCAATGGCATCATTATCTCTGTTAATCTATTTAAAAAGAATGTTTTACAACTTTTTCAATTAAAGGCAAATCAACTGAGCAGTCAACAAAATGCAAGCCATCAATTTGCTCTGATTTTCAGTCTTACATGTGATGGACAAAATTTGCATTTGGCATAGAGCAGCCTAACAGGTAAGTTACAATTAAGTAAGAATAATTACTAAAATTATGTCCTTCCTCTTCAAAATTTTATATAAAATTTCAGAGCATCATTTTAAGATTGCAGCGCTGAGAACACAGAAACACGTATATTTATCTTTTAAAGAAAACATTTAGAATTTCATTTCAGTACTTTTAAAAGGAAATGAGAAGTGTGCTCTGCTTTTTAAACAAATTTAGGACTTTTGCAGGCTAATTGTAATGCCTTCTCTGTCAC